ATTTTGAAGGGAAGTGTTAGGCGAAATCCTCATTCTACTCAGGTCAATGGTAAAAAAACCCAAACCAAACAAAGACGATTGAAGTCAGAGAGACTAGGGTCCTCTGAAAATCCAGTGCCTTCCTTTCATCAACCAGCTGGTTTTCTCATTGAAGATGGCAGAAGGGCTGTAATCTGTTAAATCACATTTTTTTAATATTCCCTTGCCTTGGGAAGCGCAGATAAAAATGCAGCTTTATACTCCACCCTCCGTTATAGTATCAGACAAAAAACAGGCAGAAACATGATCTTCTATATAACTAATCAGAATCTTTTTGCTGTCTGCATACATATTTTTCCCAGGGTGCTAGGATGGTAAATATTTTAGCAGAGGGAATTAACTCTACTTCTCTTCCTTTATGTTCTGTTATCAACGAGACTAGCCCACACCCTCACTTTGCCTCATTTTTGGCTCTGTTTCTAAACCCTAAAATTCCTGTTCCTGCATTGAAACACAATTAAATCGAGACTTAATGTGGTGCCTGTTTTATGTAATCTTGCTTTCTGGCTTTTTTTGTTCTTCCAAGTCTGAATCTCATGAATCAATGTGTATGCATGTTTCATCTGAAATTTTCTAACTCTCCTTAGTGTGCCCTAAAGCTTCCCTTTTTTGGTTTATGAAATAATAATAAAAAGCTTAACTCTTCAGATTAAGTTGTAACTGCTTTATACATTAGGCAGACAATTTCAGTTTAACAAAGTAGAAATGGTGTGAGAGAGAAATTGCAGCTTGATTATTTTTTAAAATATTCAGATTAGAATGTCATCTTTTATGAGGTTTTTTATAACCACTTAGATTGATACAACTCTCTAAAGCTGCTCTGTTTTTCATCACACATTCTCATCTGTAAAACCTTCATTTTTATTAATCTTTGTGCAATCTGTACAACTCTGAGATTAATCATTTTAAAAGAACTACTCTCCGAGTGTTAAGGATTTGCTGGGCTAATGGTAAATGCAAGCACTTCTAAATACTCCACAAAGCAGCACTTGCTTAGTGTTTTATGTTCTCTAAGTATCAGTCTTTGCTTCCCAGTTATCTAGAGTTACGTTTTATGGCTATGTTTCCAGGTCTGTTTCTGGCTGCCTAGAACTGGAGAACAAAATATACGGAGTCCTTTTTTCACCAACTAACGCGGATTCTAAATATTTATAGTCCAGTTCTGCCTTTGTGCAGTTCTGATTGAAGTTAAGGGGAGTTGTATATTTACAAGTCAAGGCAGAGCTAGACTATGAGGCCAAATCCTTCAGTCCTTGCTTGAACAAAAATTTCTGTTTGATCCTGGCACGATGGTTTGGCGGCATCTGGCCTTGCTTAGTTTTGACTCCTTTTAGGTCTTCTGCGGGCGTCAGGCTAGTGTCTCCCTGCCTATACCTCTGGGCCTTACTGGAGATGCGGGTTTTTTTTACGTTCTTTGGTTGATTCAACTGTTTGTCCCCCGATTCTCCCCCTGGCCTTAGCTGAATTTCTCCTGGCGGGTGCTCAGCCCTTGGAGCAGGGGAGGACTCAGCGTGGGAGTTCTAGCCGTGCCCCGAGCCCACCAGCAGCAGCCGGGCAGCGCGCGGCTCCGTGGGCAGCTCTCCAGGCTGCTGCGGGGTCGCCTGAGCCCCTCGCCCTGCTGGGAGAGAGCACGTGGGTCCTGGTTGCAGAAGCCTGTCTCTCCCGAAGTATGTGTTTACCTACCCTGAATTATCACTGCTCATCTCAACAGCGCAGCGTCACCTCTAATGAGTCTTCTTTTTAATTTGTAATGCACATATTGTTAGTGCCTCTGGGGTGCACAGTGTGTACATTGCAGTGCTTTGGTGGAGGTCTAGGCTGTTACCTAGTCCTGAGAGTCTACCAGGGTAATTTTTCATTGTTGTACTTGCAGATTTGGTCGCCTGAGTGCATAAGGCGTCTTCTCTTTGCCTAGTTAAACACAGAGTGCCTGACTAGAAAAGATGAAAGTTAAGGAATCTTCTGCCCTCTTAAGATTTCAATTTAGTTAATGTACTGCAGGTATAAATCCCTAAGTGTTGCTCATGTATGTGGCATTGCATCTGATCGTTATCTCTGGTATGCAGTAACACAGGTGTTTGAGTTTCGGCAATGTGTTTAAGAGATTTATGTTGGTTCTATCAGTGCTTTTATTTTAGTGTATAAATTGCAGCAATATGAAACAAGCTAACTGTGCAGGCGTGTGCTATAGGTTTTGTGGCATACATCATGGATGCATTGAGTAAAGAGGCTGAAAGGAAAAAATAATTGTATTTCACAATGAGGTTACTGTCGATGTGGAGTGAAGGTTGCACTTCAAGAGAGCAGTGGTGTAGGGACAATTTGTGAAAACTCCTTCAATGTTCCAGTTTCTCCACTAACTGGAAAGAACATTCACCTGTTAATTACTATCTCCCTGAAGGTCAGATTATTCCATAGGGCTTCACAGTGAATAAATAGTATTTTAACCAGGAAATCTCACCCGGTCCAGTTTGCTGTCGTTATCCATATGACCATGCTGAGTACCAGCCAGTGTTGATGGAAATGTGCCCTGTGGAAAATGGGAATGAGGGTTCCTCATTAAGTAGATGGCTGTTTATTACTTTGTATATTATGGGTCAAGAGTCTTAGAAAACAGGTTTTAATCTTCAAGGCTTTGCAGCTGTATATGCAGCTCTAGTGACGTATAACTAGAAGTAATGGGAGGAAGTATGAAAAAGGCTGCATGTTGAGGAAGGCTTCTCAACTGTGCAATAAAAATCAAGATGGAAATCATCTGGAGGACACCTCCCATTCATCGAGCCATTCCTTAGGACACAGACAGGGTCTTAGTTCTATTTCTTATTCCTGGGAGAAATTATTTCAGAACTGGCTGGTCTTTACAAAACTGGTTATTGCTGGCAAGTGAAAAACGTGTGAATTTGGAAGGAAAAATAGGCAGTGTTTTATGGTGTAAGCTTCCTGTTCATCCTTCTAAAGTTTCCGTCCTGGGAATTCTTTTTATCTAACTTGATGTCTCTTGTTTATTGCAGAGTGTAAGGTTGCTAGCACAGGCATGAATGAGAGGTTACGCGGTTACTCAGGGTGACTAATGCTGAAGTTCATATTTACCCTTGATTTGCTGCTATGTTACAGATCAGCAGTAGCTTCTACTGCAGAACTTTCTCCTTGTAAATGGTAGTTCTCATTTCATTCCTGGTTTAAAATGCACTGTTTAATTTGTGGTCAACATGGATGTCACTATGGGTTGGGTGCTTTTAAACTTTTTTTTTTTTTAACATCTATGGACTTGCTGCCTTTAAATAGAGAGGAAAATTCAGTGCTGCTGGGGAACCTGAATTGAGCAAATGGTAATTTGTGACCTGTATTAGGGAAAAAAAGGCCACTTCCAGGCCCTGAGCAGAGAGGAGACCCTATTTGGTTGGATATGGTACATATATAAAGAAGAATTTAATCCATTTAAATCAGATGATGGTATCTTTATCTGTTATTACAGATATTACTACATACTTCATGGCCCCATCCCATAAACTAATTTCATTATGATCACCTGTTTGCCACTTGAAATAAACGGAGCATACCTCCCTAAATGATGGTGTAGCCTTTGATTTGAATAGCTGGGTAGAGCCAGGATTTGAACCAGCATTTTAAGCAGCAGAGGAACTGCCAGGTGGCAGCCTGCACACCTTCTGGGGACAGATAACAAAGATGTGACCCACCGGCTGCAGTGGGAGCTGTTCACAAATACTGCTCCCCTCCTCTTCAGTGGGGTTCGCAAACTGTGTAGACATCTCCCACATTCCAGTTCCACTGGCTGTTCTGCAAATCACTTAAGAGGTTTAAAACTTCCTTGTAATTCTACTCTGCACATGAACTTTGAGTGAAGAGAAAGGAAGGACCAGTGAAATGAGAGTCTGGGCCTCAGGGACCCGTTCAAATTGCTATTGCAAGCATTTGGCAAAGTCTGGGATAACATCCTATATATCCATCTTTGTCCCTAGCTGTGTGCCCTTGGGCTTTGTTCTGAGCTTACTAATTTCTAACCTGGTGCAAAATGTGAACGGTTACTATTGCCAGTGTACATTAATACATGTGGCAATGTGCACACTAATGTAAAATACTTATTAAAAACTAAAATTTATTTACATAATTTTGACAATAAGAAGGTTGCAAACCGGAAACACTCTGGACAGGAGAACTAGGATTTCAAAGAATATAATTAGGTAAAACATATGGTTGTGACACCCACAAAACGCAACAGAGGTTGCAAATCTTTTAAATTATTGTGATGATACTGCATGAGGAATCTTGAAATTTTATACCTAGCAGGAATAGGCTGGGTTTGGGTTTTTATTTTATTTTTATAAAGGGTTAATTTGTAGTGCATCCTGCAAGCTGATATGTGGGATAAATAGTTTGGACACTGATTTGTAATCTCTGTTTATGAGTACATGACTGCTATTCTTATAAATGTCATCACTTTCTTGGTAGTATCTGGTAATATCTGAGTCATGAGGTGCTGACAAAAATCCAATGCACTTAATGTGAAACTTGAGGCATTTTGCTCATTCCAAAAGATATTAGCAATAGCCAGCCCCGCATTTAACTGATAAATAACGTGTACATGTGCACATGACACAGTCGTGCTGCTATGTGGATTTTTTCCTCTTACCTAAAATCTTTGTGGAAGTACATCAGAGTTCAAATCATGATACTTTATTTATTTGTTTTTAAATGAATTTCCTTAATGCATACTGGTAGACGTGTATGGAGATGGTTTGTTGTGCCAGTGAGGGCAGATCCATACGAAGGCAGAGCAGGCTTCCTTGGGTGTATTTCCTTTGAACTTGGATATCCTGGCTATGGAAACGAACTCTGCATATGTTATCACTGACTTAAGAAATTAAACCTCTCACATGCAGCTGAGTACTGAAAAATATTTCATTTTTCCATTATTCCTCTCTTTATTTACAGCCATACAGCAGGATATGAAAATGAGAACCACAGTGCTCCCATGTTGTACAGCTGTGGGGCCCAGTACAGAATACACACCCACGGAGTTTTTAGAGGCATACAAGTGAGTATAGGAGGGCGTTCTTCAAAGGGAAGTAAAACTGCTGCCTGTTTATCATGTTCATTTACTACTTCACTGGTATTTATAAATCCATCCTCAATGTGTGGTTTCCCTCTATTATCAACAAATGCCTAAGTGTCCTGACTTCACTGAAGCCATTGAAGTTTAATGTAAGATTTCTTCCTGACACAGTCATTTAAAATTGTTTATTTCTTCTCCTAAAATTTATCTGCAGGGCAGTATTCCTTACCAGCTTCTCTGGATGGTCCGAAATGTATGATTCCAACTCTTAGCTCCAGTCACTTTGGCTGTATGAAACTTCTGTGGTTACAGTGGGCTATATCTGATAACCATATATAGGAAAGTGTTAGACGACATTTTGCTTTTATGGATTTCTGAAACTTTACTAATTCAAACATATTTCCTTAAAACAAAATATAGTAAGTGATTGTTTCGTAATGACTAGGTAATTAGTGAATATTTGGATAGAGCTTACTGTTCGCCCAAGTTAATTTCCTCCTTTTCTGAAACAGTCATACCATCAATAAATAACACTGTAAAAGACATACCTTCTTAAAACTGATGGCAAAGTCATATGTTATCTGTCTCTTCTGTGTTGCTGTGTGTTGTCAACATACATGTATGTTTTTAGATAGCATCTTTTCTCCTTTTCCTTTTCTGTATAGCTTAACAAGTCATTATTCAGTGGCAGGCTCTCAGAAATAGGGTCATGAGCCAGCTTTTGTTGAGTGAATAAAAGTAAGCAGTTGACATTGTTTAAGGCAGCTAATTATCCCGGAAGGAGAAGATCATCTTTGATCGAACATTGTGACAGTGGCCAAAATCCATTAAGGCTGAACTATTCACCAACCCTACCTAGACAGTTTTTCTTGTTTTATTTTTTACCAATTTGTGTTAACCCAATCCATTACTTTCTCTGTCCTTTAACTTCATGCGAGTATTTAAAATAAAGAGGAGAATGCTACCCTGGCTTGTGCTCTTATCTCTTAGACTTGTATAAGCCTAAAACTGTTCCGTAAGCCCGTGAGTGTTCTTCCAGGATTGTATGAATACACATGAGGTCAGAATGTGGCCAGTTTAATCTTGCATATAAATATTGGTGAGAGAATTTAATAAGTAGAGTTCACTGTGTTTCACCTTCATATAATTTTAATACTCCACAAAGAGCAGATTAAGGTGTAATAAGGCTGTGCTTTGTTAGTGTAGAATGAAATAAAATTGCCTGTTTGAAGTATAATATGTTTAAATATCTCTTTGTCCTGGAGAAGTGCTTCTGACTGACTGTCTTTGATTATGTTAAATAAAAGCTCGAGAACATACACATTGCATTAGCAAGTCTCTGTCATTGTAGGATGTCCGACGGGTGCCGGGAGTAGCTCCAACTATCGTCCGATCAGCAAGTGAGACAAATGAAAAACGTCCCTTCATGTGCGCGTACCCCGGCTGTAACAAGCGATACTTTAAGCTGTCCCATTTACAGATGCACAGCAGAAAGCACACTGGTAAGTGCCAGCATGGACCCGTATAAATCACATCACAGCGCTGGACAGCAGAGTGGGTAAGGTGATTTTAAAATGGCATAAGATGCAAGAAATGATCTGCGAGGCCAGGGATGGCGAGAATCTGTCAGATGACTATGTTTGTGCTCTCTCAGCTTGGCAATCCCTCTTTTGGATGCAGAGGACTCTGAATCTAGGGAAGAAAACCACAGAGCAGTGCTGACAGCAAGTAGATCACCTTTCTCCCTCTTTTATTGCTGTAGAGCATCATCACGGCTGTGACTGGTCTTCCCTTTCTTTTTTTCTACCCTCTCCCTCCCATTTGGGAGCATCTGATCTTGCTCCAAATCTTAATTTTTATTAAGGAGTTTTGTATGCCAGAGGAACCTAGACATTGAGCATCCCTTGCCCTCCTTTCCAGGTTGCTGGAGGCAGGGACTGGCAAATGGGCTTCCTTGCTGTGGGATCTTTCAGCGAAGAATTGAGCCTGAAGGCAGCCATTTGTAGGCTGAGATCTAGATTCTTCCTGAGGTCAGGCAGTATGTTACATTTCAAAATGTGGACATCAAGTGCCCTGCTGCACCTTGCTGGAGAGTGCATAACAGAATTATTTTCCCTATTGGGAGATTTGTACTGTTGGAAATGTATAATTAACATATAACTTTAGGTATGATCCTTATGTATTTTTTCGATTGCCTGTCTTATTTTTATTTAGACAATTATTTCGGTGCTAATGTAGAAACCCATGGATAAAATCTGTAAATATAGGTGCTCAGTTAACCATTTTTGTGACAGGTCAAAGGGATGAAACAGACAACAGGAAGGCAGTCCAGACTGCCTGGACCTGGCTGATTGCCTAACATTTCATAAATCTGTTCCTTTTGAACATCATGTGGTGACATTAGTTAATTGCATAAAATACTTACAGGTGAGAAATGAACCTTAAAAAGCATTTTTAATTTTGGAATGTGCAAGTCACCGACTGTTCAGATAGACATCTTTAGTGTTGCTCAGATTACACGTTCAAGATAATTTAGATTGTAACTGGAATTTAGTCTTCTGAGCTGAAGGTCTACAGAAATGCTGTTCTATTTTCTCTTAATGAATTGGAAACAGAAGAAAAATTGGAGCTCTTTTGGGGTCTATCAATTGCCTTATTTTTCTTGAGTATGCCTAAACAGTTCTGAATTTTTCTTATAATCACTATTTCTTTCATCCCTGAAGTGATTTACTCTCTATTTGAACAGTCATAAGTTGTTTGTTCTGGTCTTGTTTTTTGCTCCATTTAGCTAGTTGGCTTTCACAATATTTTTTCTGGATTCATCATGAGAACTTCAGCTTACATGTTTGTTTTTGTTCTTAACTGGAGGAGATTTCCAGCAATATTCTACATATAATCTAGGCATGTAGAGCCACAAAACCCCCAGAAGACTTTAGGGGATAGGACTGTGGCCATCTAGCAGCCCTAGAGAGACTTCTCCCGTTCTCTTTGAGGTCATGCATGCCCCTCCCTTCTCCTTTGGTTTATGTGATTGTGGATCAGGGTAGAAGAAAAATGTTTTCTTTTTCCTTCTGCACAGGTGGGCCCAGATTTGCTGCCGGTGTATTTTGATATGTTGACAGCAAAACTTGTTTATTTCTCCAATCTTTGCAAGTTTCTTTTTGTAAGAGGACAGCTTGATTCCCAAAGCTTGTTTTTTCTAGTATGAATGTTGCCATTGATAAGACAATATAAACTTTGGAGGTTGGTTGCAGCTAAAGAGAGGAAGCAAGGGGTAGTGCACTGCTGCCATCAGAATTCCTCAGGCCACTTACCTGGCTGCTGTCTTCAGCTTTAGGATCAGAAGGGTTCTCTCTCCTATATCAAGAAGGCTGACTGTTGGACGAGTAACTAGCTCTTTCCTATGAGTAGTGTCTGGAAATTATGCTTACCAAATCCCCGGCTGCTCTAGAAGCTTAGATTATGATGCCCTTCATTTCTGGTCACCTGTTCTCTATTAGTCCTAGTTTTTGGGAGTGCTTGCTAGGCTGTACTGTGTGGGAGCATCTGGGGTGGATAGTCTACGAACACTGTGGAGTTTGCTTATTTTCTTGACTGCTTGATGTGGTGGAGAGCCTGTTCTTGGTGGCCATAAGGGTCTTTTCTAGTTCCATGCTCTTCAGGAGTCCTGGACAGTCAAACTGACTTTTGTGATGCGAATCCATTTCCAGTGTCTCTTGTAAGTTATGTCTTTCTCTAACCCTGACTTGTGTCTCCTTCTCGTGGAAAAGTTGTCTGTCAGAAGCAAGATTTGGAAATAAGTTTTCTCCAAGGGCAGATCAGTCATCGCTGGAAGAATGTGTGTGTCTTGTTGAGAACAGTCATGGTAGCTAGAGCTCACCCTTCTCTGTGCCTTCTTTCTTTTCTCCACCTGCTTGGTTTTATGTGTTAAGGGATATCTTAATGGACCAGTATGACTAGAGAAAGGCTGTTGGTTTATGTTGATAATTGTGTGGCTCTCTCTTCGTGTCTCTGACCATTTTTCCTGTTTGTAACTCAGTAAACTCCAAACTCCCATTCTAGAGTTTTCTACAGTACAGAAATTGGACTTGGTGGCTTTAGCGCATTCAACAGAAAGTAGCTGGCAAGCCTAACACCTAACTCCTACTAAACAAAGGGATATCTCTTCTTCTGCTTCAGTGTTTTGATGGGGAGAAATCCTGACGAGTCATCTAAAGTCAGGAGAGTTGTCAGATTGATTTCAGCTCAAGTGAAGGACAATTTGGTTGTATTTGGCATACCTCTCTACAGCCAACAGAATTTTACTAGTCCTCCTCTAAGAGGGTCCTGGATTCACTCACCTTTCTTAGTGTGGTGGTAGGTCCGTTTTTTAAATTATGAACACATGATTTGAAACCAAGCTGTAACGTATATCTAATTTTTAAACCAGTAGATAGTATCTTTGCAGAATAATACTGACTTTTGATCATCTTTTTTTCTTTCTGTAATGGATACATACAGAGGATTGGCTCATCAGATCTTCTGTCCTTCACTGGTTGCAGTATTGCAAAATCAGACAGGGCCCTGAAACACAAAATTGAATTAAATAATCAGTTTTACCAATGTTTCAACATAGCCTTAGTTGAAAATATGTTGACATTTGGTACCCTCCAAGACTGCTTATCCATTGTTAACAATGCCTCTATTGAAACATGTACAACCATAACAGCTTTTTTCTTATCTTGGTGTATTTTGCCGCAGCAGATAGGCCTCTGAAAGGAAATGCAGAAATGCATATAACTTTTCAACAGCACAGCAAGTAATGCGGGATGTCATCCTGTGGCAGACTTCACAGACTTCTTTGCAGAAACAAACTGTTGTTTAAACCTCCATAAATTTCATTTATGGTGCATCGGCATTCTTGCTAGAGACCCTTTGGGTTCAGTGCCACACACTGGAAAAATCTGATTTATCCTAACAGAAAACTGAGCACCTTTGCAGAGAAAACATCCTCTGCCTGTTTGCCAGGGATATTATTCAGCCTAAATATGCTCAACTGCAGGCATGAGTTTGTACAATGAAGTATGAGAATCTGTAAAGCAGGAAGGTTGTCCTGTGCTTGGCTCTTGGTGGTGGATTTCTGCAGCTCTAGGGGGTTTCGGTAATGCAGTCTAATAATGATTTTTTATGCTAGTCATCTAATAGTGATTTCTTTGCTTTGACAAAAGCAAATAACCTTTTACTGTGACATGTGCCACCGTGCTGCTAAATGCCTTACAGTCATTAGTGCAGTTCATCATTGCAGCACCTTTGAAAGATAGAGCTGTGTCCTCTCTATACAGAGATGATAAATTGATAAATGGGTGTAGTTGTGTCTGAGCTGGGATCCGCGCAGGCTCTCCTCCAAAGAGTCCGGTGTGGTAGCTTGTAGAAGAGCATTCTTGTCATTAGTGTTGCTTTGCAATGCTGACCTTCATACTTAAGCCATGGAATAGCATTCTGCAGAATACTGTGGAAGCTAAAAGCATACATGGATTCAAGAAACAACTGGACAAATTAATGAAAAGAAACTGTTGATGAGTATAATGAAATGTAAATAATGCTGGAAACCTCTGAGTCACAGACAGAAGGACTGCTGAAGCTTCGTCTTCATCTCCTGTTTTAATTTGAAATTGTATGTGGTCACGTAGGAAGGTGACAGCATTATGGGATGTTTTTCATGCATTAAGAGACTTAAGTCTTTTCCTGAAGAGGTTTTACTAGACCTGGGGAAACTAGACGCTGCACTAACCCCTCTCGGTATAGTGATTCAATGAGGCAATCAGATTCAGTCAGACTTTTTCTGATTTGGGACTTATCTGTCATCCTGTTCTCATGAAACTTATGGGAGTGAACAGGTATGTGACAGTTGGCTTTGGCAGGCGTTTTGCTTGGCACTAGCTGATGTCAAAGATGTAGAATTAAAGAGGTATTAGAATTTCTGTCCAAATATTGTGCTTCTTTTCGTTTCGTTGGTTTTTGTTTTCTGTGCAGTGTCATCATCTCTGTGTGAGCGTCTTGGATTGATTCCTTTGGTACATGTATTGCTTAAATTTGTTCTTGATTTAATCAAGATTTTATTTCAAAGTAGTTAAAGAAATGCTTTCATGGGCATACCACCAGACCCGCTATACCATTTTATTCAGATACCTTGCTAACCATCTTCTGCATTTATATTGCAATTAGCAGACAATCATCCTGTCACTGCATTCTGCTCTGCTGACATTCCCCCTCTTAAATCTGCCAAAGGGCTGAATTCCTTGGAAGTAAGTGGTTTCTGAAAAGCAGGCACCCCCCAGGGAGTCCTTGCGGTCAAAGTGTACAGAACTATTTCAAACACCTGTGGCAACTTTAATCCCCTTATGCTAATAAATTAAGCACAGCAGACAGGGAAATTGTCCACACCTAGGTTTGAGAACCAGTAAACTCCTTTGGGTGACTGTCACAGGAAGTTAGCTTGTTCTTGCAGATTTAGTTGTTTTTGTGAAATTTTGATCTCGGCAATTATAGTACGAATTTGGAATGCTCTTCTTAATATGCTACTTGCACGGTGTTACCTAGGTCAGAATGTTTCTGCTTTAAGCTAAAATAGTTTGCCCTGGTGTCTCAGAATGCCAGTGCAACCAGGAAATGTTTCCTCATCATAATAAAATCAGAAGTGCAGACACTTGCAGTGAAGATTTATGAACGTGATATGTGTTAAAAAATATGCCCAGAGAAATTAAACCCACTGCCCACATCAGCTGATGTTTTCTCTTTAGGTCCTTCCTACTGGACCTTTGTTTTACATCTCAGCTTTCCACTGTAGGCAAAGCAGGTCCCAGCTGGTCTCGTGTGAACCTTCCAGATAACACCCAGGGTCCTCTTGGCTTTGCACCGAGAGATGTTTCATCACTTCTCACGCTGAGGCCTCAGCACGGGGCTGTGGCACTGTCACCGGGCTGCGTGTAGGCAGAAGTGTAATTATAGCTGAGGCTTTTGCAGGATTCCAGCATTGTGCAAAAAAGGGCCTTAGACTAGGTGCGAATCAGATCTGAAAGGTGGTACAGCTCTTCCTGTCACAGCATGAGGATTATTTTTTTTGTGTGCCAGACAGATTTCACCAGCTCTGTGATATTCTTCATGCCAGCAGTGTTTCCCTCTTTCCTCAAGCTCCTTGAGTGCTGCATTTCTTTTTGCACGTTTTTGTGGTTGGTGAAGTCCTTTGCATTGAAAACCATGTTCATTTGAGACACTGAGTTGCAGGGATTTAAATTTTTTTAAAAAGTCAGAGTCTCGCTTTCCATCCCAGAGAAAACCCATCCTGAGGATCTCTGCTGAGCTGTATGGGAGTTGGAGGAAGGGTTTCTATTTACGTGAGGCTTTGCAATAATTCATAGGCTTGCCTGCGGGAGGTGTGCACCTATGTGAGATTCGATTTAATGGTGCTTTGAGGAAGAAATGTATTTTATGTTTTGGGGAAGAATATGTATTTTTCTGTGGTTGAATTTTGCTTAGTTTATTTTAATTAAGTTAATGTGGTTGTTAGTGCAAGTTGCCACCTGCATGGATGTCATTTGTTTAGTTTTTTTACTTTAAATCTGCTTTAGAGCAAACTGCATGTTGTCCCCTTGTACAAATGATATAATCCTGAAACGGGTTGAAAGAGCTTAATGTGATTTTCAGAGTAGTACAACACAAGAGATTTCTCTTTTTTCTCCAGCAGAAAACAATAAAAAAGAGTTTAATGCAACCTGATTTTTTTTGTAGCTTTGACCTATTTTTTTTTTTTAGAATGAGCAGTTTCAACATTCCTGTCAATATAGTAGAATCATGCCGGCCTTTCCCCACTAATTCCAGCAGTTGTGTGGTTTTAGAGCGAATGAGTCCTGGTGTACCACTGGACTGCTTTAGACATGAGAGAAGTCCAAGTCTTTCAGCGTAAAACATTTCATCTTCTGATTCTAGTTGATGTATTCCCTCATTTAGCCACATTTTCTCATAAAGTGTTTGTCCTTTATAGGTGAAAAACCTTATCAGTGTGATTTTAAGGACTGCGAACGAAGATTTTCTCGTTCAGACCAACTCAAACGGCACCAAAGACGACACACAGGTTTGTTGACAACCCATCTCTCTACTCATTACAGTTCATCTTTGCAAGCAAATTGCGATCCAAAAAATATACTTTAAAACTTTTATTTTTCTGATGTTGTGTCTGCTCATAAATGATATCCATAGTGCAGAATTCTTGAAGTTAGCTTTAGGAGGGCTCAGTAGCTGTTTGTTGTATTTTTTTTTAAACTGACATTTCCGCAGGTTGTATAGGTGACTCTTTCATCTTGCAGCCATCTTTAATGAGATATCTTTAATGAAACTGTTAGGTCTATCCTGTATCCCCAGTATTGAGAAAATATTTTTAAAAAAAGCCAAGGAAAAGTTGCTAATGAGTAACGTGATAAATGCTGCTGTTGGTGCTCTGAGGTTGGTGTGGCAGTGCTGGTAGGTGAATGCTGCGTGTGCGTGACAGTGGGGAAGGCAGCAGCAGCCATGGTTGGGTCTGGGTCCTGGGTAGACTTGTGCGTCTTTCTTTTTGTGAATCATTTACTGGGTGAGATGTTCAGAGACAGCCAAAGCTGCTTGAGGCTTCAGTCCCAATTCAGCAAGTTGTTCATTACACATACACCATTTTCTGGAAACATAAAGAAAGTGTGTTTCAGCGTTTCAGGAGTTCTTGGAGATCTAGATTAGGTGGACAGGGGAGAGAGCTGCCCTTCTCGAAGTCATGGAAGAAGAGATGGTGCCTTCTGGCTGGGGGTAGAACCATGAGGCTGCTCTGCATGGAACGTGAGAAGGGGCTTCAGAGGCCCCCTCTGACGGAGCCACAGCAAGAAGTTGCGTCTCAGGGAGTGACCTGACAATCGGTTCACATGCTATTCTGTGGCGAATTTCTGCCTGCTCCTTTTTTTACTAAAGATGTTCTATCCAGCCTAAATGCTGTTATTGAGGGATACAGGAAGTGTCTCTGAAAGCTGGTGGTTAAAGTGCTCTGTTGGGATGATAACATTTTTAGCAACTGCTTGCTGGTACACATCTGTGTTAAGCAGTCCCTGTGACTTACGTGTAGTGTGTCAAGTAAGCAGTCAAATGTAAAGTAAGTTAAGCCTATTGGGATTATATAAAAATATACGTCTGCACATCTGTTCTTCCTATGTCATATTTACTCATACGTGGTACCAGTAGTGCCAAGCCACAGGATCACAATTAATAAAGTTTGCAGATTCTCCTCAGCCCAGCAATGTCAGGGGGTGTGGGTTTATGATGGTGCTGTTTGGATGTCTCAGACCCACACATCGGAAGAAGGGGTTACAAAAGGATGGCGGCTGATTAATGACTGTCCATAACGTGTAGGCGTGAAACTGGGAGGAGTAGTTACAGTAACTAGTACCAAAAAATCCAGTCTTTCAAAAATTCAGAAACAATTGATTTTATTAATCCTTCCAAAAGGTGTTGGGATATAAGAATAGATTTATTTTTGTTTGGTTTTCAGGTGTGAAGCCCTTCCAGTGTAAAACCTGTCAGAGAAAGTTCTCTAGGTCTGATCATCTGAAGACTCATACCAGGACTCATACAGGTAAAACAAGTGCGTAAACTTTTATTCACATTTATATTTATTTTTTTTAAAGTTTTAATGTTGTTGTAAATTACGTTATTAGAAAGTCTCTTAAAGTGGAGTTAAATATTCAGAAGGAATTTCAGGGTGCTGATTTTTCAGCGTGATTACATTCCCCAGCTGTCATAGTCACTTCTCAAAGGGATTTAAGTGATTTTGGAAACTGCACTTTCTTTATGTTTAAAGAAATTTCAGCTTGGCAAAATACATTTTGTCAGCTATTGTGAGGTGAGCATTATGGTCTCAGCCCACAAATGTCAAGTTGATCTATTGCCTTTACTGAAAAAACCCTGTAAGATAGAATTTTTAATTCTAGCTTTAGCTGAAGGTCTGTAATCTGAAGTATTCATTCCTACTTGTGCTTCTCCTAAGTGTCAGTTGAGCCTAATGCAGGATAGCACAGCAAAGCTCGTGCTGTTGCTGCTTGTACTATAATCTCTCCAGAAGATAAAAGGAGTGCCTTTTGCAAACTCACACTGACAGACACTAAAGTGAGAGCTTACTCAAATATTCAAGAACCTTTTTGAACAAACCATAGTATTTCATGTAAATACAAGGGAAAAAATTGGAGGGCATTTTAGTCTACTCTGTCCTCGTGTAAATGTAAACACCGTTAAGGAGCAACCACAGCAAGCTCTGTATTTTAAGTTTTAAAATTATTCCTATGAACTGACATTTTCTGTTCCCTTCCACTTCGTGTGCAGTATTTTTACCAAGCAGTTGTTTACTGAGCACTTTGGCATGTTGTTAGAAGTCACAGCGTTTCCTATACTGGTGTTAACCTTTTAAATTCAGTCTCTATACAGATGTACAAGGAGCCTGAAAATCTTTTTCTCCCTGCTAAGGATTCTTTTTTCTCTTCTGGACCAAAAAACCGCATATTTAAAACTTTAAAAAATAAAACAGAAATATTAGTAAAGGAGATGATTCATCTGAGAACAATGGCACTGGGAGAATAAACGCTTCGAGTAACGGCCATATCTCCACTTGCAGTCTGCAAATGGTGAAGGGCATGGCTGTGCTCCTGGGTTCTCCCCAGAGCTTCGTGATGAGTTGCAGGGCCTGGGTCTCTGTGCATTTGCATGAAGAAAGGTATTTTCTTAATCAGCAAGATCTCTCTGGTAGACACAAGATGGCAACATGCTGGCAAACTGGGATAAACTACATTCCCCATCGCACTTCATTGCTGACTGATCTGCCAATTACAAGACTTCCATTACTCTGGTGATTTTTTTTTCCCCCTAGATTAGCTAAATCAATGAAGAGCTTGCTCTCTCTTTTTTTCTAGAGAAATTCATTTCCCCATTCTATTTCTTCCTTGCTCCATGTGATGCAAGCCCACAGCACACTCATTTCTGAAAGCAGCCTCGCTGAGCACCGAGAACCTCATAGCGCAGCCTGGTGCATGGGCTCTCTGCCTGCCACTGGCTCGGGTTCTGTGCGAGCTCTGCAGCCCAACTGTGTGCTGCTGTGGTGATGCTCCTGTCATGTTCCCTTGACTGTAAAATACACATATCCTGAGGGAATGAGCATGAGTGGTGGGTGGAGATTTTTCGTCTCCATCTTGCGCTGTAGCTTCATTCCTCTTCCTTTCTTATATCCTCTAAATTTTGCAACAAAACATGAGCTCAAGTTAACTTTCTCCGTGATAAATCTTGATGAAGCAGAGCACAGGTGACTTCAATCTAATTTCATCCTAATTTTGAATCAACTGCTGAAGTGTTTAGGTTACAAATTTGAGGTTCTTTGTCTCCACAAGCAATTTTCCCATAACAGCAATTTTTGCTGCAGAAAGCAAAAAATAAATCAAAGGAAAGCTCCATGCATCTATGTACACTTTTAGCAATGGAAATGTGATTTCTGATAACCATACAGTGAAGCTGTGCAAAGTAATTTGTCCCCAGCACGGAACTACCAGAGATTGCTGCCCCCTATTGTGAGAGGACAACCAGACTCGCTTGTGAAACATCAAAACTCTGTGCTGCTTTTACTGTGGTAGTTCAGTGTAAAACTGGTCAGGAATAGGTAACTCACATCAGTTCACAGGATGGTTTTGCTAACGCTGCTGAGATGAAAGAAGACTACTTTCTACAATCTGTGATTTTTATCAGTAGCACTGACCAGATCAGTTTTGTCCCGTACTGTTTTATGCGCTCATGTGAGATAGTTGATGCTTTTGCCAGCGTGTGTATTAAGTGGATGAAGCAGATTTTAAACACCTTCCCCCCCTTAAATACATTGCATGGAATTTTGCAAACATAAATAGACATTTATGCCAATCCCAGATCTCCTTTTGCTTGAATTTGAATGTTTGTGAAATGTACAAAGTGTGAGACAAAGAAGAGGAGATGTCTGGGTGAGCTAGTACCACCCAGTGTGTCTTGAGCTGGAGAGTACAGGGGCTGTAAACAGCACTGAAGAGCCCAGCTCCAGAGCTGAACCTACTTTAAAATATTGCATTTTCCAGGGGGGGAGGAAAAGAAGCAAATGTAATTCTAAGAGAAACATGAGTCACTGAGCACTGCTCTGAGCTAATGAAAGCATTCCATCAGCATTCCTGTGGCATCAGAAACACAGCCTGAAATTCCGCTTGAACATTGTATAAAAACCAAGAGACCAGATTAATATGGAAAAAGGTAGTGGCGTTTCTTGTTTAAAATTGAATGTGCTTTGCTTGAGGTCATTTTTAGTGAATATTATGCTCATGGGAATGTCAGAAAAATACCAAATATTTTGAGCCTTTAACATCTCCCATAGATGTGAATCTATTTAGTCAGCAGTGGGAAACTTTCAGTCGGGCTCAGCGGACTTCATGCTGAACTGTTGCTCCTACCATATTCTCTTACACTCAGCAGTTTCAAAGAACTTCAGCCAAAACTCACTGAGCTAGCTGGAAAAGCTCGCCTTGACTTGAGGTCAAGTCCTAAATAGTCACTGACAGTTTTCACAGTGACTAACAGTATGTCTGCACCACAGTCCAAGGTGTGACTGAAGCTTGTGCGAATGCCAGAATGACTTCTAAACTGGTTCGTTTGAGAGCTGAGATCAGCATAGACATGGCAACATGGTGTTCAGTAAGGGCCTGTCTTCAGGAACGAACTGCTGCAAAATGTTCTACGTCATCTGAAAAGGCTGTTGTTAAAGATCAGCTGACGGAGATGTAGACAAGCAGAGAGTGCTGGTGTGAGCAGGAATTGAGGGCCCTCCCACACTTGCTCAGGACAGCCTGGGATGCCTTTCCTCCTGACAGGGGCTCTGCCCAGCTCCTCACAGCCCTGCAGAAAGAACATAGCAGTGTCTCAGGCAAGCTGTGTACCCGGTTAATAACAGGGTGTTTTGTTAACAGGTGAAAAGCCTTTCAGTTGCCGGTGGCCCAGCTGTCAAAAAAAATTTGCCAGGTCTGATGAATTAGTTCGTCATCACAACATGCACCAGAGGAACATGACTAAACTGCAGTTGGCCCTTTAGACAGTTGAAACAAGTGAATAAACCAGCTGGGACATTATGAGCTACCGCAAACTTTATCAGCCATCTTCGATCACCTCTGTCAGAAAGCTGCAGCTGTCTTCACATCCCATTTGACACAAGTTAACTAAACCGTAGGATTCTGCTCAGCCTTGTCTTCCGTTTGGAGTTACCTAAGTTCCTATTCAATGAGTTTAAGAGATTGTTATTTGTAATTTTGTTAAAAAGTAAGCAAGATTGCCACAGTTTCAAGATTGCTGTAAACTATGCTTACCTTTCACCTCTGTCTCCAGTTTTCTGGTTTTATTTTCACTTGAAGTTTTCGAGGTACAAATTGTTGTACCTTTTTTAAGCCCTACAGTGGGCAGGGGGATTCCTCCCTGTTGAAGGTGAGCTTTTTGCTTACTTCATCTGTGCATATGCCGAGGTGTCCAAATGCTAGTACAGCCATCTTCACAAAGTGAGATGGAACAATCACCTGAGATACTTTTGGTAAACTTTGTACTTGTACTGCCAAAGGGCAAGCTTTTAAAGTTGGAAGCTCTGCTTTCGAATTTCACAAATCTAAACATTTTTTAAAGGATGTATTTCTAGAGCAGCTAAAGCTAGGTGAACCAGAGCCTTTCTGTACAGAAAATAAGAATCTTACTCTTAAGTTAACTTGGCTTTTAAATGGTCCCATAATTGATCCCCCATACTGTTTTGTTTGTCAATTAACTCTCTCCCTTTCTCTCTTTCTCTCTTTTTAATGTATTTGTTTAAGTTTATTCTATCATGAGATGCATAGATCTCCTTTACACAAAACTAATTCTAATCATTGTAGACATTTGGGATTTGTTTACGATGTAAAGCCACACTGGTTATGTGGCTAGCAAGCTGTATAAACTTAAAACTGAACTTTTAATGGGGCTGGTCCAGGATCTCCATTAACAGATTACTCTTAAGATAAGTAACTTAAAAAGACTCTTTGTCAAGTATATGTGAAAAAGACATTATTAGTGTAAGGAAATATATTGTTTCAGGGTTTTGGGAGGCGGGATTTATTATTTACTTTTAATTGCTTGAAATTGTGTGTATATATATCTGATAATGTATTGCTCTTAGACATCTAAAATTAGAAAGTGTATAAATATTAGATGCATCACTGTTCTGATGTTGTTGCTGTTACAAACTATTGATAACACTAAGAATGTAACCTGCATTTTTCACTGAGCTTTCAATTAAAGCCCATTCAAAGAGAAACAAATGAGAGTCCAACAGATGTCTTGTTTCATGTCTGGTATTAAATTTCAAATGCTTGTCCAATAGTATCCTTTTTTTTTTTTTTGTATATAAAGGTACCACCAGCACTGATGACCACTAGTTAACCTGTCCAGGTCTTGACCACAATTTATCCATCTCACTTGGGAATCATACTGGCAGTAGAAAACAGTGTCAAGTTTCATATTGTGCTACAAAGCAGTTGCTTCAATCGCTCGTTGTCTTAACCAAACTTTTCCTTTTCTTTCGACCTGTAAGATTTGTATAAAAAGCTTTGTGGAATAGTAAAATCCAGGTTATAAATAGCAGTACTGGCCTTCTGTAGAACTATGCTGAAACCATAAGCACAGATAACTTCTTAGATTAGGATGTCATGGACTGACTTTTAAGTAGAAGTTAACTTGGAGTTGGGGTGGCTTAAATCAGTTCAGAAAAGACAGTCTTTCTTAGATGATGAAGTGTGAAAATGAAGATAAAAAAATATTACTGTTTCTTTGTCATACTGCCTGCTTTTCTTTGGAAGTAAGTACAGCCTGCCTCAACGCCCTTTGACCTTGCAAAATATTTGTATCTCTTTAGCAAAAATCTTTAATGTATCTTGCCAAGCTTTCTTCTCTAATGTACACAATGGAGTTCTATGATGGGTTGAGATTTCTCTCTTAAAGTGCAGCTGCCTCGTCAAGAAAACTCAACAGTTAATTCTTCAAGTCCTCTTTTTCGCATGGGTATTGCATCACCGTTAATTACTGTTGGGGTACTGTGACTCATTTGTATCAGTCAACTTTATCTTTCGCTGCCAAAAGACAGCATCTCTCTGGAGAAACTCATAACAAGTGTGGCAAACATCAAATATTTGGAGCGAATGGTGCGCATAAAACTGCACAGAATTAAAACACAAAGCAACTCCTCCTGCTTTCTTGAGAGAAAATTTCAGTCACAATAACAATGTCCTCTGATTTACCCAGCAGTCTTCTGCAACTACAAAACAATCTGTTTTTCAGTCTGCACTCAAAATAGAGAGCTGCCACGAGTGTTTATACTTAAAGCCAAAAAAAGAAAGTCAGCCTCCAGTTATGCCAGAGTTAGTCAAACATAAATAAAAGCATCTTTTGTGAAATACAACCAAAACTCCACTGCAGCACAGGCCACGCTTCCAGTGACCTGTAAATAACTACAGCCGTGGTTTTGCTGCTTGGTGAACTGCGTGCTGAATAATAACAGTAGATGGCTACAAAAAATGAACCGTGGGTTGATGAGTGACAGAGCATGTCCTTTTGTTTTTGCTGTCACCACTTTTTCAATGGAAATACTGACTGCTGCTCTGCTGTTGGATGATCATTGCATCCCTCAGCCTGCCGAGTGCAGAGGACAACAGTTAACGTTTACAAGATTTTTTGAAGTTTTCTTGTTCCTAGTTATTTTGCAGTCTTTGCCGTGAGAGGCATTTTACGTCTCTGCCTTTCATTTCTCTGTTTTCAGGATTCTCTCAGCAAGGTAAGCCACCTTTACTGATGTGCTTCACTAAATGAATTTCTCAGAAGTAGCCCCTGGACAGTGGATCTTGCTGTGTGCCACTCGGCAGGCCGAGTTTCTGTGAGCTTGGCCTCCATATGAAAGATGAGTGGGCTGCACTCTGTTATGTCTTAAGAATATCCTTAGCTCTCTGGAAAGCCTTCAGTCCCACAATTAACTGAGTAAATTTTTATGCCTCTGCCTGTTGATTTAAAACTGAAAATAGTGACCGATGTTATTTTGGCTGTTGGTTAATGTCTTGCTGTGATTGGCACCCCGTGTCCTATCCTGTAGCTTCCATCGACCCCCAGAACAGAGAATGTTAATTATATAGATAACACTTCTACTTTTTCTTATTGCTTCATGATGTACAAGATGTGTTGGGTAAGCAAGGGAACGTGAGCTTGTCTCTCTCTGACAGTGTCAGCTGAGATTCAGGGGTTCACTTGCACCAATTTTTCTCAAGGCAGGTTACTCCAGCAAAGTGTGCCCCGTGCTTTAGGAAAACTAGAGCTAGTGTGCCTGAGTTGTAACCACACGGTCTGCTTCTGGTGCCTTTCATATTCTTTAAGGGTACAGACTGCACTGCCTGAACAGGAGGTACAAAGGTGTTTCCTTTCTGCCATTGGGCAACCCTCCTGAAGGCAGCTCATCCTCCAGGCAGGTGCTGATTCCTGTAAGGGAACGGGGGAACTTGCAAAGAAGTAGCTCTTTCCTTCTCTTTCAGTGGTGGGTTAGGTGAGTTGTTTGTTTTAGAAGCCACTTCAACCAGGCCTATCTGTTTCAGGATGTCAGTAGGATTCATTTCACTGCTCCAGCAACCAGCCTAACAGCAAGTGGGAACAGTTCCTGAAGATCCAGGTAAGTGCCTTCAACCACTATTTTCCTTTTCCTTCCATTTCTCCAAACAGGCACTGAGAAAAACTTCTCACTTGCAGTCTTTTCCTGTCACGAGTGTGACCTGACAGCAAATCCAGTTTGGTAAGCAAGCTGCTCCCAGCACCTTGTCCAAAAGCCTGACAAGGCTCTGGGGTGGATCGAGAGGCTCTGAGAAGGTGCCTCAGAGTTGCCTGGACCAAGCGTGAGGTGGGTGCACAAAGGCAGCCAGCAGGCAGAGGTGTGCTGCCAGCGGACATGAAGACGTTCTGTGACTCTGTCCTGCTCAAACTCTGTTTGTACTTTGCCCTTGGGGCAGGTACGGGCAGGGAGAATTGTTCAGCTTTCGAGCTGGTCTTCCTGGCTGAGGAAAAATCCTCCTTCCCCCTCCCTCCCCTCCAATTAACAAAAAAGTAATTAAAGGCAGCGTATGCAGTTCAGAATGGCACTAATGGACAAGAAAGCCCAGCTGCAGAATTTGGGAAGGTCCTATAAAAGATTCATTAGGATTCTTTTAGTTATTGGAAGTCCTGATGGCACAAAGGAGCCTAATGAAACAGAAGACCTGGCTACAAAAGCAATGAGTTAAAGAAAGCCCAAACCCAAATCCAAACCCGACTGACACCATTCTAAAAATTAGACAATTAAAGAGTAAAACCAGGAATGTAGCCAGAACTATTCCACCTCAAATAATAAACACAAGGATAAGTTGCCAAGTGAGGTCAAAGAAGCAAATGGTAAAGTGAGTTTAAGAGACAGCTAGACACTTTTATGGGGAGAGAGGGGATTGAAGGATACAGTGACAAAACTGGGGGTAGGGTTGAGATAAACCCAGAGGACAGGCATGGTGGGCCAATAGCCTCACAGAGTGCTCTGGGCCCCGGGTGCTCGGCTGAGGAGCAGAGCGGCACTCGGCGCTGGGGGAGACTTACCAGGGCTGTCGGCAGTGTCCTGTGAGGGACGAAGGGAAACTGCCGGAACAGTTTGAAAGGAAGCTGAGCCTGGCAGACAGAACTGGGTGTGCTCTCAGTGCACTGGTCGTTATGTGATGCCCTTGGTTTTGCTAGCGAGGTGCCCTGACAAATTCGCTAAAAAGCAGGTTTGTGAAGGACTTCTACCCAAGCAGCTTCGCTTCTTGCCAGTTACCGGTGCGAAGCACAGAAAGAAACACCAAAAGAAAAAGAAAACCCCTTTTTAAAAAATATTTATTTTACATGAAAGACTACTTGTAGTATAGAGGAGAAGAGGGCTGGCTAGAATATGGCTGAAATCAGGCAAACCCAAAATATACGAAGGTTATGTTCTCTCCTTGTACGAAGCTTTGCATAATTCCACGTATGCACAGCCCATGTCAG